TACTAGAATCGCATTGGCCTTTTTAGCTGCTGCATCACACTGTTGACTCATATTCAACTTGTGGTCTACTAGGACTCCTAGATCCTTTTCAGATGTAGTCGTGTTAAGCCAGGTGTCCCCCATCCTATATCTGTGCATTTCTTTTTCGCCCCAAGTGCAGTACTTTATATTTCTCCATGCTGAAGTTCATTTTGTTAGTTTTGGCCCAGCTTTCTAATCTATTAAGGTCATTTTGAATTTTGATTCTCTCCTCTGGGGTATTAGCTACTCCTCCTAATTTGGTATCATCTGCAGTTTATAAGCATGCTCTCTATTCCTTCATCCAAATCAATGATAAAAATAATGCGATGGGTCACAGCAGTGTTTGTGCAGTAAACAATGCAATAAAGCTTTAGTTAGGAAAGAATGGGATTTTTCTCCATTTGATCCTATTGTAGCTGCCTATGCCTTCCTATGGGAGAGCCAGCATGGCATGGTTGTTCGAGTGTTGGACTGTGAATCTGGAGACCAGGGCTCGATTCCCAGCTCAGCCACTGGGCAACCTTGAGCAAGTCACACTCTCTCAGCCTCAGGAGAAGGCAATGGCAAACCTCTTCTGAACAAATCTTGCCAAGAAACTCCCATGATAGGTTCACCTTAGGGTTTCCATAAGTTGGAAAGGACTTGAAGGCACAAGACGACAACAACAACAACAACAAACAGGGTAAACAGCAGTTGCCTCCAGCATCTCTTACTGAACATGCATGAATAGCAAAACAGAGAGAAAAGGGAAAAGAAGATTAGCCCGCATCACCAGCTACACTCAGCACATTTTTTAAAAACATAGATTTACGGTATGTTTGAAAATAGAAATCAAAGGGAAAATGGAATCTGGTGAAAGGAAAAAGCCATCCCTGGATGCATTTTGGAAGAAACTTTCAGGTAGTCTCTAGGCGGGTTTACATGTTTTTCTTTACTTATGCAAAGTTTATTTGGACATCTTCTTTATTTTTTCATGTGCATATTGTTATATTTGAACAAAAGGTTTGCTGAAACATATTCTTTGATTTTGTGGCATAGCAACCTATTTTGCTGTTGTTGTTGTTGTTGTGTGCCTTCGAGTCATTTCCGACTTATGGCCATGTCATGGGATTTTCTTGGCAAGATTTGTTCAGAGTGGGTTTGCCATTCCCATCCTCTGAGGCTGAGAGAGAGTGACTTGCCCAAGGTCACCCATGGGTTTCCATGGCTGAGCCAGAATTCGAACGCTGGTCCCAGAGTCATAGTCCAATGCTCAAACCAACATGCCACGCTGGCTCCCTCTTCTCCCCGCTCTTTGGCTGCATCTGCAGTTTGACTCTGGCATTTTATACTGAAAATATTGTGTATTAAATAGTTACTGTATATACTCACGTATAAGTCTAGAAATTTTAGTCCAAAAATTGACCCAAAAAACTTGAGTCGACTTATCCACGAGTCAATATACCCCAGTATATTCATCCATCCACCCTTTAGTGCAGTGGTTTCCAAACTTTGATCTTCCAGATGTTTTGGACTCCAACTCCCAGCAGTCCCAGCCAACTTGGCCAACAGTCAGGATTTCTGGGAGCTGAAGTCCAAAATATCTGGAGGGCCAAAATTTGAGAACCACTGATTTAGAGTGAACACAAACAGTTATGGCTGCCAGAATTTTGTAGGTTCTTTGGCATCATTTTCTTTTCCTTCATCCTTTAATCCTTGCCCCTAGGTTTTACCCTCGACTTATCCATGGGTCATATCAAAATCTATAATTTTAAACCCAAAACCTGGCCTCCACTTATACATGAGGTCGACTTATAGTTTAGTATATTCAGTAATAAGTACTCTTGTTTGCATTCAGTGAAAAAAACAATTCCCATGATTCCCTAGCCCTAACCCTAACCCTAAAAGTGGACTCAATTTGCACTATTTCTGGCAGTCTGCAACCCCCCATAGACTGCATCCGCACTGCAGAAATAAATCAGTTTGATACTACTTTCACTAGTTCCATGGCTGCATCTCCACTGCAAAAATAAAGCAGTTTGACTGGAATAAGAAATGGCCAATTTATATATATATATATATATATATATATATATATATATATATATATATATATATATATATATATATATATATATATATATATATATATATATAATAAAATAAACAGTGCATATGGAAAAAACTGATCTTGGGAAAAGTTAAAATGTAAAAGCAAACAAAGCAATTAAATAAAGAAACTAAATAAAATGACAGGAAGAATGTAGACAGAATCTGTATACAAAATCAAACTGTATTAACAAGACTTAGAAATTAAAGTTCAGTAAAAACTCATCAAGAATAAAAGTTTTGATTATCTATGAATGAAGGAGAAATCACAAGACCATAGAAATCACTAGACAATAATTCAAGAAGAAAGCTCAGTGCGGCTGGGAAGGAAGTAAAGAGAATCAAGTACAAATTACAAATCTTTGGGTCTACAAAGCCTTTTATTGTAAAGATGATAAAGGTATCAAGAATGATAAGTTATAAATTAATAATAAAATAATATTAAAAATATAAAAAATAAAAAACAAAAATAAAATCTATAAAATGTAAAACAAAAATAAAAATAAAGTCAATAAGTAATAAAATAAAAAATAAAAAGTGAAATAACATTAAAATAAAATAAATGTTATACATATAAATATATTTGTGTGTGTACTTATTTCAACTTCGTAATGCTTTATTTTCAAAAGGTTAGAGGTTTTTTATGTTAATGATTTGATTGTAACAATGACAATTATTTTAAAATACATAAATAGTTAATAAGTTCTCATGCTAGCTCTGTGTCATGGGACGCATCTGCACTGCAGAAATAATGCAGTTTGACTCTGCTTTAACTGCAGGTTGACTCCACTATTTTATACTGAAAATATTGTGTATTAAATGGTTAATAAATGCTGTTGCTCTGTGTCCGAGGGTGTGTTTTAAGCTGCTAAATCCACTTCCACACCCTTAAACTGAGCACTAAATGACATAAACTGCATCCGCACTGCAGAAATAATCCAGTTTGGTACCGCTTTCACTGGTTCCATGGTATGGAATACTGGGATTTGTAGTTTTAGGAGGCATTTAGCCTTCTTTGTCAGAAAACACTGGTGTCACAACAAACCACAAATCCAAAAATCCCATAGCATTGAGCCGTGGCAGTTAAAGCGGTGCAAAACTGGATTATTTCTGCAGTGCGGACGCGACCCCTCTGAAGTCCTGAGGTAATTGAGCCACAAGGGAAGAACGGATACAAAGAAAGAGAATTGGGCGGAGCCTAACCCGGCATTCGGCCCGCCCTCCTTTATTTCTCATTGGTTGCGCATGGCGCGTGGCCACGCCCAAATCTTCTCCAACGAGCGCGGAGTGAGCTCCCTCCCACCAAGTGCCAGGATGACGAATCGATTGTGAGAGGCGCTCCCCAGGATCGCCAGGATGGCGAGTCGAAGGTCGAGCAATGGATGAAGGGAGTGGAGAAAATGGCGGAGAAGGTGCAGAAGAGGTAAGTTTGGCTGCAGGGCCTCAGTGGGTCTGAAGTTAAGGAAGTCAGAGGGACCGAGAGCGCCTTCCTTCTCATCCCTCGATAGGGAGATACCTTGGAGTGGTATAAACTCACAGTGCCACAATCTCAGCTGTTGTTATTGCTGTGAATAGATGCCTCTTGTGTACATTTTGTTGTTGTTGTTGTGTGTCTTGAAGATTTATGGAGACGCTAAGGCGAACCTATCATGGGTTTTTTTTTTCTTGGCAAGATTTCTTCAGAGGAGGCTTGCCATTGCCTTCCCCTGAGGCTGTGAGAGTGTGACTTGCCCAAGGTCACCCAATGGGCTTCCACGGCCCTCCCAGGACTCGAACCCAGGTCTCCAGAGTCGTAGTCCAATGCTCAAACTACTACTGTGTACGTTTTGGCTCTCCTAAAATAATAAACTGGGACTGCATCCAAGAGATGGGAAGGAGACTAGCCTGTCAAACACACTGCAGAAATAATCCAGTTTGAGACTGCTTTAACTGCCCTGGCTCAATGCTAGAGAACTGAGGGAATGTGATTGGACCTGTATGTTTCCCATAAATATACATAGCAGAATCACAATGCCAGTTTTTAAAATGATAAAACACTTTTGCCCATAGGTCTACATTGGGAAATACTTGCCTATAGGGAAATATTGGGAATTCCTTGCTCATAGGGAAACACTGGGGAATACTTGCCCATAGGGAAACACTGGAGAATACTTGGCCATAGGAAAACATTGGGGAATATTTGCCTATATGGAAATATTGGAAATTCCTTGCCGATAGGAAAACATTCATTGGGGAATGCTTGCCCATAGGGAAACATTGGAGAATACTTGGCCATAGGGAGAGATAGCAGAATACTTGCCCATAGGTGTACATTGGGGAATACTTGTCCAAAGGGAACATCTCCAATGTTTCCCTATGGGCAAGTATGGTTTCTCTATCAGCAAGTATGATTTCCCTATGGGCAAGTACTGTCATTTGTTTTAGTACAGGGGTAGGCAACCTTTTTAAGCTCTGGGCTGGTCCCCCGAAGTCCTCCTTTCCACTGGGCCGGGGGGGTGGCCGCGTGCTCACGCACACGCACCCTCTGCCGCTGCGTGCAACCCCCCTGCGCACACTGCCGCCACCGCCACGCATGTCGCGGCCGCCATTTTGATTTCCAAAATGGCAGCCGCGACTCGTTTGCTCATGCGCAGTACTGCTGCGCAAACGCGTCGCGGCCGGACGAAGGCGAAAACGCACCGCAGCGGCAGGGGTCTGCCTGGGCCAGTAAGTCTGGGGGCCATAGATTGCCAGCCCCTGTTTTAGTATGTCCCTAAATTGTGGCTGTCATATTTTGGTCACATCATGACAAGGTGAGACTCATTGGAAAAGTTAATAATGCCGGGCAAGGCATAGTGCTAGATGGATGGACTCTATTAAGGAGGTCACAAGGTTTACAGAACTTATACAGAGCCAGCATGGCTTAGTGGTTTGAGTGTTGGACTACAACTCTGGAGACCAGGGTTTAAATCCTGCTCAGCCATTAAAACCCACTGGGTGACTTCCTTGGTCAAGTCATATGTCCTCAGCCTCAGAGGAAGGCGATGGCAACCCACCTCTGAACAAATCATGCACACAACATACAAGCAGAGCAGTGGAGGACAGGGAGTCTTGGAGGTGTCTCATCCACAGGGTCGCCGTGAGTAGGGATTGATTCAAGGATGGCGAACAAGAATGATAAATTTCCCTGACCTGCTGAGGCAGCTTAGGCTTCATGGATTCCTTGTCTCTGCTATTTACATCCCCTTTTCACTGGACAGCTGCAGATTATGCATCCATATGGTAGAATCATAGAAGCATAAAGTTGGAAAAGACCCCTCTCACGTCTGACAGGGATGGCCTTGCTCATGAAAACTTTCTGCCACTTTAAATTAATTTCTGCTATTTTTTATTTAACTGACGCTTCATACCTTGTTCTTTTGTGTAGTTCCTAACACTGTGATGTTGAAGGCAAAAGCTCTTGTTTTTATTTATTTTAATGCAGCCATTAAACAAATGAATACAGCATATTTTGTTTTGTTTTTTTAAATGAAATAAATAGGAGATGCTGCCCAGAAGCTTATAATCTAAACTGTTTATAATCTTGTTTGTTTTGCCTGTAGACTTTGAAGTTGGTCCCACCAAGCTTGCTAAGAGTCTTGAGTCAAGGCTTGGGGATGTGTGGCACTCCACATGTTGGACAGCAACTCACATCCCTCCTCCTGTTGATAGACGCTCAGAGTTGCAACATTTCTGGAGGGGCAATGTTTTCTTCACCCCTGTCCTGAGTGGCACCCTGCAACCTCTACTTTTCCTCTACTGTCCGTCTCAAAGGAATGCAGTGCCACTTAGTAGAACCTTTCTGTTGTTGTTGTGTACCTTCAAGTTGTTTCTGACTTGTGAACCTATCATGGGGTTTTCTTGGAAAGTTTCTTCATAGAAGGGTTTCCTTTGACATCCTCTGAGGCTGAGAGAGTGTGTCTTGCCCCAGGTCACCCAGTGGGTTTATATGGCTGAGCCAGAATTCAAACCCTGGTCCCAGAGTCATAGTCCAACATTCAAACCATTGTGCAACAACTCAATAATGCATAATACATTTCAAAGCAGCTTCATTTATATATACTGCTTCATATCATGCTGTGGGTCAAATTTTTGTGTTGTGCCTTTGTTATTATTGAAATCAATAATAAAAAACCCTAATAATGATCTACCATTTTTCTGAATGCTTAAAGCAGTGGTTCTCAAGCGGTGGGGCAGGACCCCACGAGGAGGGGAGATGTGAGACTTGGAGACTAATCCCTCCTCCTCTTCCAATACTTTTTAATGTTTAAAGTTTACACACTTTGAGTTAAATACTGAATTTACTTAAATAGAACTGTTTCAATTTGATGTCATTTCCTTATAAAATGTTAAAATTTGAATATAAATGAATGTACAAATGAAAATACACTCACTAAGCAAAACAAGCCAATATTTGTATTCATTTGTGTCGAGTGGAGGGGACGCAACATCCTCATGTAGATGTAAAAGGGATCCCAAAGGTAACAAGTTTGAGTGCCACTGGCTTAAAGGATTTCTTATGTATTAGCTCATTTATTCTTAACATATTCTTGTACATAACTGTGAAAATATTTAAAAGGAAGACTCCCTGCTGTCTGATGATTACTTAGGATGCTGCCTTAGCTCTTGGGGTAATACTGCATTTTCTTAGCACTCCAGTAGCATTTGTTTCTAATGAAATGTGCACCTTCACCCCCAAGCTGTATCCAGCTGAATGAGTTGCATGTGACTGGTGGCAGAAACTTGATGGACAGTGGCTGTGATATAGCATGGCCATTTACATCGCTCTGCTGTCTCCACAATATTTTATAACTTGTGTTTTAAAAAAACCAAAAAGCAAACCATAACAGGCTAAGCACCTCCTGCCCTGTTGCTCATGGATGGGAATACTGATTTGTCTCATTGACATGTTTCATGAATGTCTTGTTAAGGAAGCCTATCTTGTGAGGGCATTTCAGAGCTTAAATCTGGTTACCTGGTTTCAGGTAATATTCATATCGTATTTGAGTATTAGTTACCTCTTTTCAGGTAATATTAAAACATGTAGGACAGGGATAGGCAACCTTTCCCCTTTAAGGGCCGAGGGACTTCAGCTCCCAGAATCCCAGGAGCTATTGGCCAACATGGGACTATTGGCCAACATGGCTAAGGTTTTGGGAGCTAAAGTCCCTTAAAGGGGAAAGGTTGCCTACCCCTGATGTAGGACTTTTATCAGTGAACCTAGTATGCAAGCAGGTACATATGGGGGGACGTATTTTAGATATACTGTTCTCAAACTGTAAAGGACTTTAAAGATCTTGACCAAGACTGGGGGAGTATTTTGGATATACTGGTCTCAAACTGTAAAGGACTTTAAAAATCTTTACCAAGACTTTGGATTGGGTTTAGAAACAAGTTGGAAGTCACTACAGGGGTTTGAATAAAACCTTCACATGCTTCCAATATCCAGCTCTTGTTACCAGCCAGGCCAAAGCACTGTGGACCAAGTATATTGTTTAAGTACTTGCTGCATATTCATGTATAAGTCCAGAAATATTAATCAAAAAATTGACCCCAAAAACCTGGATTGATTTATCCACGGCCCAGTGAAAGTACTATACTTTAATTCTTACTAAAAATTGAAAGGCAAAGGTGTAATCTGTCCTGAAAGCACCCTCTCACTCTCTCATCCATCCAGCTCTCAGGGTGAGCACAAACAGTTATACCTGCTGAAATTTTGTAAGTTATTTGGCATCATTTTTTTTTACTTCATCCTTGAGATCTTTTGTAAGTTTTACACTCAATTTATCCAAGGGTCATATCAAAATCCATAATTTCTCCCCAAAATCTGCTCTCGACTTATACATGAGGTCAATTTATAGTCAAATATAGACAGTAGGTTGCCCAAGGTAGGGCACACTGTAGTAATCCTAGTATAAACCTTAAGGTACTTCTTATGCTTAGATATGCAGTTTCCACAAATGGGTTCAGGTACACCAGCTGATAAAGCTGTATAAAAGTAAATCCAACTACCACTGATACCTGGGCACCTGAGATAAAAGCTTGTTCCAAAAGAACCTCTAGGTTATAATTTACGTTTGCTATCCCATCCAGCACTAGTTGAATCCCTATTCCTAGGTCAGTTCTGCTGGCCATGAGCACTTAGGTCTGATTAAGCTCCAGTTTGTTTGCCACTGTTTAATCTATTAGTGTCTCCATGTACCAGTTCAAGACCTGTACAGCCACCCTGGCATTTAGTAGAAAAGAAAGAAAATGTTGGGTGTTATTTACATACTTAGGATATTAAAATCCATATTCACAGGTGACCTTTCTCAGCAGTTTGACATAGATAACAAACAGCATGGGAAACAAGATGGAGTCTTGGGATTCACATAGGGGCTATGGCAACTGAAGCATTAAACAGAAGTGCCTTAGCAGCACCTTCTGCAATTGCCTGTCCAGAAAGGACAAGACCCACAGTAACCTTGTTTCTCTAGGTCCTCTTCTAGTAAGACACTCCAAAAAGATGGTTGTTCTAGTGTTGAAAACTAATGCGAGGTTCTAAGTTCTCATAGCTGAATTTAATTTTAAAATATACCTATTTTGGGTGGAGATGCACAACATGATTGATATGTCTATTGATCTCTTTTTTAGTGTCAAGATTGCTCCTGGCGCTGTTGTTTGTGTAGAGAGTGAAATCAAGGGAGATGTCACAATAGGTAAGAAAAAATATGTTTGTGTGGTATTTTTGGCATCTTTAGAATTAGTTTCAATAACTATCAGAACTTGGAAACTAATATAGAAATTCCTCTTAATTCTCCATTAATGCTTTCTTGCTGTAAAGCAAGCATTTGATGATATGTCTTGTGTAGTTCAATGTCTTTTCAAAAGTACTCCTGATTAAGCTGCTCCACATAACAGTGAGCTGCAAAATGATAGCAACCAGGAGCACCATTTGAAATTTCATTGGGAGAAAGTAGAAACAGGATTGTCAACAAGCCTTGAAAATACATTTCATTTCTTGGAGTTACTTTTCTTCTATTGCATACTCATTCTAAAAATAATTATCTCTGGCTTTGGTATTTATACCTAGTCGATTGTGGCAGTTTATTGGGGTTAATTCAAATGATCTCCCTGAATTCATTTGTCATCTGAGACTATGCCTTTGTCTGCTGCTACCTCTTGATAGCTATCCATGGCATAACATCTGAATGAAGCACATGTTTCAATGTGCTTAAGCCACAAATCCAAGGATGTGAGATACCAGTCATGGTGTTTAGACCTAAATGCATTGGAATTTCTTGGGTGTGTATCCATCCAATACTTGCACATGTGGATGTCCAATGAGATAAGCATTCCTTGTGGTCAAGGTGGGAGAATATTAATGGAACAAGATAGGTTTAAAGATTGGGGAGAAAATGTAAATAGGCCTGTTATCTATCGTTATAATTATATAATAGGAATAATAATTTGCTAGGTGCAGTCAGAAAGCTGATTAGAAATGCAGGAATTCTAGAAATGAAAGGCCACATGTGCTCCTGTTAGGAATGTAAATTGTTAGTGATATTCTAACAGTCCACTGCGGCGATTCTCAAATGTTGGTCCTACAGGTGTTTTGGACTTCAACTTCCAGAAGCCCCAGCCAGCTTGGCCAACACTCAGGAATTCTGGGAGCTGAAGTCCAAAACATCCGGAGGACCAAAGTTCGAATATCCCTGATCCACTGCTTAAGAACATAGTGGATTTCACTTCTTTGGTACAAAATACAATTTGCCCACACCTTAATTCCTTGTTGATTACACGTTGAACCATTTATTGACTCAAAACCAATTGGTAGCTTTAGATTATTCTTCTGGGTGGTAAGATTTAGTGTTTGATTTTGGAAAGTCTTTCCCCTATACCCTCCTGCCCCCTATATTTTTCCTGTGTTATGCAAGAAATGAAAGACAGCGCCAACTTGAGGGC